AATTAGTGATTATGTCCCCACTGGATGCAACAAATGCCTCGTTTGTTATGGGTTTTATTGGTTTTGTCTCGTCTTGCTGGGAGACGGCATCACAGTATGTTAAGGGGCATAACATTTCCATCACAGGCTTGAGGCATTCGGCCAATCACAACGCACTGGATAGCTGGCCAATCAGAGCACACCTCACTTTTTTAGAACGATGAGCTTTGTATAAATCGACGCGTTTCAGAAAGGAGGACTCCTTTGAGTGATGGACTCACTTTGGGACTTTTTCAGCACTCTAGGATTCTTGGACTGTTTTTAGGGTATGGTGCAGAGAACTGTATGCTTTTAACAGACTGAGTTTTCCTGGTTTTATTGTGTTGTTTTAAAGTCCCGTGAATTTGTAAATACACCGTTATTAAACGTATTTCTGTTTTATGTCATTCTTGTAACGCACATAAACCTCTCGCACAGTAAAATCTGACCCCATTTTAAACTTTGTAACCCAGCCTGTTAGGCTGATCGTTACATTTGGTGGCCCATACGGGGAACGTTTAAGATTTTAAAAGCTCTGTTGAGAAAGTGTTAAGCCTGTTAGGCTGATCGTTACAAAGGATGGAACGGAACTTTTGGAGTTGGTTGCGTGGAACATATGTTCATCCAGGGGGGCACACTGGCGGAACTGGATCTGAAGTGGAGGATTCGGGGAGCTGTTCTTCTAACAAAGAGGTTGAAGGTAAGCACAGGTTCAGGGTCATCAGAACTTTAATCAGAGATGTGGAGATGAGAGAGAACATCTGCTCTCTCTGAATGTTTGCTCTTATGAAGTTACAACCCCAATTCCAGAGAAGTTGTGACGTTTTGTAAAATGCAATAAAATTAAGAATCTGTGATTTAATTCTTTAACTTTTTTATTTAATTGACAAATGTACAAAGAAAAGATTTCCAAAGTTTTCACTGACCAACGTAAATGTATTTTGTAAATATGAACAAATTTTGATGGCTGCAACACACTCCAAAAAAGTTGGGACAGAGGCTAAATAAAAGTGAAAAAGTTAATAGTATATCCACTAGGGCTACACGATAAATCGCAGGGCTGCTGCTGGCCAAATGGGTGCACTAAGCAGAATTCTATTGTTGTGCCCCCTCCCCCAAATATTTTGGAAATAATAATTTTAAAAAAACACCTACTATAAGGGTAAAAATATAACTTTTAATAAAACATAAGTAAATAAATAAATAAATTGTAATTCAATTGTATTATTTACAAATTACAATTGTAGCTCTACAGCAAAAAAACAAAAACAAACTAAAATTACACGCATTTAAATAAAACATTTTAAAAGATTAAATATGATCAAAATAAACAATAATTAAATTGTAAAAAAAATCAATGGCAGTGGCTATTTGCACTGGCCAGACTCCTGGGCCCGGGGTAGAGCTCCAGGCTTGGAATCAAAATGGATTCCTTTAAGGGGATACGACCAAGAGCCTAGTATCATACTAAGTCTTGGCCTGTCACACAGGGGCTACCGCTTGCTCTTGCATAAGCTCTGAAAGGAACTGTCTCAACAGACC